AAGCCTGAAACTTACTTTTAACTAACACATAAAATTGTACATATTTATGGAATAGATTGTAATGGTTTGATACCTGTATATATTATTAAATATTTAAATTAGGGTGAATATGTATGAATTAACTATTTCCTTATCGTGAATACATTCAAAGTCCTTTTTCACCTTCCTTTCTAAAATGTACATTATTATCTATAGTCATCCTACTGAGCAATAAAATACCAGAATTTATTCTCTTTTGATTTTTGGCTTTTTAATTTTTTTTAATTTTTTTTTTAGACAAGGTTTCTCTTTGTAGCCCTGACTGTCCTGGAACTCACTCTTTATATCAGGCTGGCCTCAAACTCAGCGATCCACCTTCCTCTGTTGCCTGAGTGCTGGGATTAAAGGCATTTGCCACTACTGCCTAGCCAGAATTTATTCTTATCTAATTAAAAGTTGTTCTTTGATCAACCTTTGGCATTCCCTGCCTCCAACTCTCCTTTCTAGTAACAATCATCCTGGTAAACATTAGATCCCATATTGTCTTTCTGTGCCTGATCTATTTCATTTGATGTAGTGTTCTGTATATATGTTGCTACAAATGACAGGATGTCATTCTTTTATGGCTATATAGTACCCTATCACATATGTATACTACATTGTCTTGATTCATTCATTAAGAGACAGTTAAACTGTTTTCATTTCTTGGGCCTTGCAAATATTGCTATAACAGGCATAGAGAGAACATAGGACCCTATATCCCCAAACAAACAAAACAGCTAAAGTCATCCCTTTTTGGCTGTGACTTCTGTGATTAGATTATGGGAGAAAAAACACAACGGTTGAATCCCTTATTCTGTTATGGATAGCACTTTGGCCCATCCTCTCCATTGCTTAGTGACAAAGCAATCTCCTATGCTTTGTGATACCCTGGGGAGAAGACTACATGACAGAGAGCTGAAGGAGACATGTGGCAATATCTTGTGGAAAAAGCAGTCAGGTGAGTAAGCTACAAAATGGATCCTTGCCAGTGAGGCCTTGAGATGATGGCAATCTTGTGAGAAGACCTGAGACAGAGTACCCATCTCAGCATATGTGGTTCCCAGGACTCCGTTATAATATAATAAGTTGTGCTGAATGGGTGGGGGGTAATTTGTTATTTGGCAGTAGGTAACTGATACATCATTTATGGAACAGAACTGAAACAACTTTCTGTTAGATCTTTCTCATTCTCCAAGGGCAAACAGATGTTGCTTCCTTGTTCATTTATTGAGCAATGCTTGTGGATTCCCTACTAATTGCTAGGCATCATGTTAAGCTCCAGTGGACAAGTGGTAAACAAAAACACACAGTCTGACTTTTGCACTCATTTTCAGAGTCTCACAAGAGACATATTTCATTAACAGGAAAACCTTTCCATGCTGTCATTTTGGTCATATTTTTAAAAATCAGTGAAGACTTCATTCTGGTCTGGCCATAGCTCACATAAAGTGACTTCTGAAGTTCTTGTCTAGTTCATTATCAGGCAACCCTAACTTACCTGAGGATGTGTTTTTTTCTACTAAAACATTTGCTTTGTTTATTTACCTTTTATGCCATTCTGCCTTACAGTTAGGCTTCTTTTCCTGTCTTCACTTTTTTCCTTCTTCATCCACAACCGTGTCTCGAATGTCTGAAAAATGATAGTGATTTGATATTAATTATGGCTTTGATAATCTGAGTGCTGTCACTATTTTCCCTTGTTTGGGGGAAGTATTTTTAAAGCCATCAACAGGTTTACTTTTTAGATCTCTGTTTCTTTCTAAAGTATTCAGATTATAATAATGTTACCTAATCAGGTTCTAAGTCCTAGTCATCACAAGATAAAGTAATAAACATGTCATTGACAGTCTCCACTAGTTTTCTTGGTAAAAATATTTTTCAAAATTTATGCAAAGTACTCTGTTATTTTATGTTTGTATTTTATTAATGTGGCAAAACATATAGAAAGGCATGATAAACGGAACATAAAATATCATAAAAATTATTGCTTATGGCAAGAATGAACATATTAACTTATAATTTACAGCTGGCTATGTGCCGGGCAAGGGCAGAATGTTCTCATAATGTTGGCATTAATTTGTGATTAGTCGGTTTTCTTGGTGACTCATCCTTGATCAAGTTTGTCCATCAGTGTTAATTCAGTTTATTTCATGTGCATTCACAAAGTTGCCTTTTCAGCATTTACTATGAGAATAACCCAGAGGGGACGGACCTCAACATATTTCTCCCCCTCTGGAAATACAGTCATTAAAAAAGCTAGGAAAATTAAGATTGATGCTATAATACGTATAACAAAAAAAGGTGTAACCAGACATAGACAAACTGATTTCCTTCATTTCTGAAAGAAATATTTTTTCAGCTAAAAATTCAAATAAATAATGTATTTTCCCTATGTTAATGCATATATTTACTTTTTTCTTTGGTTTTTCAAGACAGGGTTTCACTGAAACTCATTTTGTAGACAAGGCTGGCTGAAAATCATAAAGGTCTGCTGCCTTTGCCTCCTGAGAGGTAGGATGAAAGGCATGTGCCACCAACAGCTGGATAATATTTCTTAAAAATATTTAGTTAGCTCTTGGATTTGCAGTCCTTCTGCCTTTAGCTTCCTGAGTGTCTGATGTTGCCAGCCTGTGCCAGACCTAGCTTATCCACAGTTTAAAATTCTCTGCTTGTTCTATATTATATATGTTGTTGGAGTCTTTTTCTTTTGTGTCTGTTTGACACATCTCATGTATCTCAGGCTTGCTTCAAATTCACTATATAGCTGAGGGTAACCTTGAAATTCTGCTCTTCCTATCTCTACTTCCTATATATTTGTATTATAGGCATGCATTAACATATCCATTTTAATGTTTGTTTGATAATTTCATACTTGCATATAATGTGCTTTGATAAAATCTACCCATCCATTCCCTTCCCTCTAATTTTCCCATATATGCCCCACCACTTTTCCTTTTCAATTTCATGTGTTCTTTTTTAGAACCCATAGAAGAGAAAAAGAAAATCCTTATTTTTTCTTTCAACTTCTCCTGTAAATAAAAACAATAAATTAAAAAAAATCAGAATCTACTTAATGCTGCCTGTTTTTGCATGCTTGTAGGACTATCTTTTGGAGCCTGGGTAGCCTCTCAGGGTGCTTATCCCTGAAGAAAATTGACTCTCCCTCTCCCAGTAGCCATCAGTTGTCAATGTTGGCACTAATATAAAATGATTACTTTTTCCAATGGTGAAAGAAGTATACGTTTTTATGAGATTCATATTTTTGGGGTGTGTGTTGTGTTGTGTTTTAAGCAATTAGCATTTGTACACAATGACTGGGTAGACATTCAATGATCTTAAATATTAAAGAACTATTAGTTTTTCTGGTGTAGTAATGGTATCGTGATGATCATTAAATTTTTAAAGAATATTTTTTAAAGATGTAAAAATTCATATGTGTATATGTGGTGTCTGACACACATGTGAAGGTGCCCAAAGAGGTCAGAAAAAGCTGTTGCATTCCCCTGGAGTTGGAGCTACAAGTGATTGTAAGCCACCCTATGCTGTGCTCAGAACTGAACTTGGGTCTTCTGGAAAAGCAGCCATCACTCTTAACTACCTAGGTATGCATCTCTCCAGCCTCAAGAGTTTGTATTTCTAACATAAATATCGAGGGGGCAAAACACCCAAAAATAAAAAAACGTTAGTAAATTTAAAAAAGGAAATGGCAAAATTAAGTCCATTGTTTTATACACTAAAATATAATAAAAATTAGATTCATGTAAATAATTTGTTAAAGCTGATGTTTTCTTGATT